ACGAACATCTCGATGCTGTAGCAGTCACAGACAGTGAATGTAATGGAGAACGAACATCTGATGCTACTGTCACAGACAGTGGGTGTAGTGGCGAACAAACATCTGATGCTACAGTCACAGACAGTGGGTGTAGTGGCAAAGGAACATCTGATGCTACAGTCACAGACAGTGAGTGTAATAGAGAACAAACATCTGATCCTACTGTCACAGACAGTCAGTCTAATGAAGAGCATACATCTGATGATGCTACAGTGAGAGACAACACACGTAACCGATTGCAAACCTCTGATCCTGATGCCACAGTTACAGACAGCATGTGTATTGGAGAGGAAACTTTTGATGCTGCAGTGATAGACAGAATGTGTAACAGTGAGCATACCTCTGATGCGAAATCCACAGGCAGCATACGTAAGAGTATCGAGTCACCTAGTCGCGCATTTGTTTCTGTGCTAGATGGCTCGTCACAAGCACCCTTGGTCCCTGGTAACTGTGAACAGGGTTCTGTGCCAACATCACTCGCTTCTCAGGAGCTAATTGAAATAGCAATGAACGAGGGGATTGAGTGTGGACTAACTGCTTCTAGCTTTGCTCAACCGGGCAGAGAAAGAGAGAGTCAAGATGCTTACAGGTCGGATACCACGTGTGTGGAATATCGAGAAGTGAATCGCGCTTCGAGTATCGAGTTGGTCAACATGTCACTTGATGATGAATCGGGAACAAGCGCAACGACAGGTGTATGCAGTAAGCATAAGGAACACACTGCAGAATCTCGAGTGATTGCCGGTGCAGTAACAGACCGGACTCACGAACTCACACCAGTAGTGAAAGCAGAGCCCCCTATGGGTGTATTGGGTCGGGAAACAGAAGAGCATCAGCTACGTAGCGAGCAGGAGCATAAATGGAGGTGTGTAGAATTGATAGCGGAAATGATCGTTACCGACTAAATTTTCTATTCTTGCTAACCAGTACTGTTAATATTTCTATAATCAATTAGTTTTTATATACAATACATAAATAATTATAATTTATCTCGATTATTTTTTTAATTGAGCTACATAACAAGTCTACTATTAAAGTCATGATGTTTAATGTTAATGTTGTTTCATATCTGTAAGCCACTGCACCTACTCTGTAGAATGCTGCTGGTTGTAAAAGATTGAACTTTTCTTGTGTTAATAGGCAGTCTGTAGCTGCTGTGAGGATACAGACATTCTGGCGAGGATATCACGTAAGGCGGGACCTACAGCAACAGCTAGCCTGCTGGTTTGCTGCTGTTACCATCCAGACACACTGGAGGGGATATCTTGTACGTAGTGCCATCTGGCGGGAACAATTGGAAGCTGTGATATATGCTATTACTGTGATACAGGTAAGTGTATTTTTGCAGGAAATGAGTAGAAAGTGATGAATTGAGATTTAAATGAATGGCATAAACACAAAGTATGTCGTAAAAGATGGATTAGTGTATTTCAACACCATACATGTATACGTGTGCACACAGACATACGAACGCACGCATTGAAGTTTTCTTTATGTTGTGAGAAAATTAATGATTTTGAACCCTTGGAACTTTTCCGTCTTCCTCGTTAGGCAGCGTGGAGGGGCTACCTGGCCAGGAAAAGGTACAAGGAAGCGCTCTCAGCTGTCGTAAACTCGAGCAACAACTCGGATAGTTGCTCGCTAGATGAAGTCGACGTTTCTTGCTTCAACTACAACGAGGTGAGTGATTTCCGCACAAAAGCCGATCACTTCAGTAGTGCGAAAGCTGCAAACGGGACTGCACGTGAGCAATGCAGCAGTTTCCAAATCGCTTGCCAAATAATTGATCAGTTATTCAGTTAATTTTACGGCTCAACAGCATTGAGTAGTAATTAAGCTGTTCGAACTCTCACGCGACAGTGCAGTAGATGTGCATTACGTAAAGACGTTCCGGGCACGACCCCATTTTTGCACATTTCTAGGCCACTCAACAGCTGTTGTTGTTTCGCTACAGGAAGAGTGGGAGAGTGGTTGGCTTCCGATTGTAGACAATTCTGTGGCAAACACCGGCGTCGGCGACAAAATGTGGGAAGCGACGGAACCGGCTGCGAGAGAGGGAGCTGCAACAGCATCCGGGCAAGTTGCGGGAATCTCGACGAGGACTCCTTCTCTCGTTGTGAAGCCCCGGTCTCCGGATATCACTCAGCAAGCCCAGAAGTTTGGTATCGAGTGGTACGCACGTACGATCAATCGTGTCGTCGACTTGTCACGCCGAAATATATAATACGTTCGTTCTGTGGGTCTACGCATTCAACGCACCCTATGTTTTCAGTTTTGTTCAATTATTTGTACCTCATTTTTTTACTGGACAACTCTACTTCTCCGGAAAAAGTGTTTTATTTGCTGTCTTACCCACTGGCAGCAAGATCAAGCCCGCACGTACAGCACACACGCGGCGCCATTGACTATATATATACAACATGGTGTCGAACTCGCCGGCAGTCGCCACAACTCACC